TGACTTAATATCTATAAACTTAAACAACTTATAACGTTCAGTATCATAGGTCTCATTTAGTTTCTGAATAGAAGCCTGGTGGAGATACTCATTAGCCTTATCCGAGTGATAGGGTCTCTTAAGGTCACATAACTTAGGAGTAATACCATAACGTTTAAAACAGTTAAAAAAGTAGGATGGGAAACTGGAATAACCTAAAAATATTGAAATATGTCCAAAATATATTAATTTCGCTTACATGTACTGCCTCCAACATTTGCTTGATTCGAATAATCTACATTCTTCTCATCACGATTTAAGCAAGTGTTCATTCTGCCATCATTCTCACAAGTTTCACGTTCTACTTGTATGAAAGTCCCATCGCAGGCATTTAGATGTCTCACATCTAAAGTAATCTGTCTGCGCCCTTCAACCCGCTCACTCGTGCTCGCATCTGTGTATTCCAAGTCCCTGCAGTTGTCATCACTGGCCTTCTCTTCAATCTCATCCCTTATTCTGCTAATATTCCCCGTCTGCCTATTTTTAGAAGCAATGGCAGTGGTAGTAGAAGCCGTACCTCTTGGTGCCCGGCCACGACGATCCCGACGTCGACGGCGGCGATCCCGACTGCGGCTGGATGCAGCTATCGGGGCCTGTCTTGCCGATTGGGCCAATACTGCCTCAACGACACGTTCAGCGTCCTCACGAGCCGCAGCAGCTGCTTCACGTTCGGCGGCAGCGGCTGCAGCTACCGAAGCCATAAGAGTATTATCTGATTCCTGGTAACCGCACTGATAGCTACGGTCGCCAGAATCCTGATAAACACGCTGATGACCTCTTTCACCAGGTTCCCGGTAATCACGACTGCGAATACGATCTAGGGGCACTTCCAACTCGTCGCTGGGCAAAAGCCAATCGCGTTTGACTCCAAGCCGTTGACGGACAGAAATGCGAGTCGGAGTGGGAAGATGAGTTTCAGCTACGATACGAGACTCGGATGCTGTATCAAGGAGATCACTGAATGAAGGCCTGGAAGAAAGAGGAGTGTGTGGCGTTTATATTGAAGATGGATTATCTGTAGTTTGATAGAGTTTTAGATGCAATTGATTCGAGTTCTGGTGAGGTAATGACAATAAACTAAGATTATAACCAGAAATAAGTTGGTGTTGCTTTGTGAGTTACTATAAGTGAATATCAAATTACCATAGCATAGCTCACAGTTGTGAATAGTCAAATAATAAAATAACAGTTTATATGACTGATACGTGCGAAATACATCATAAAATGACATGTTAAAATTACTTAGGAAAATATGATAAATTCTATCAGATAAAGTGAAAACTTTGTGCTTTGGGGTTTAGACAAGAGAACGTTAAATCACCCAAAGTGAAGATTGTACAATAAGAGCAATAAATGTAGGTATAGTTCACATTGTAAAAATAAAAAATATGAGATATTGGCAAAATAGTCTCCAAATTTAAATTTGTATGAGCAGATTATCAATATCCGTATGCAAGATAGCAATCGAGCAATAGCGTAAATTAGGTAAAAGAGGATCAGTGGTTGCTTCTTCATTCTTTATTTATGTCAATAGTTCATTTGTAAGTGAGAAAACCCAATAACTAAGACCAAGATGGTGTGGAGTTTGGTTTGGTAGCAGTCTCCTTTAGAACGATAATTTCCAGAGTTTTGTCATTCTCAGCACCAAGCTACAACTCGTCAAAGAGACAAGTGAAGTCAATCCCTTGACCATCTTTCTGTCGAAACGGTCGTGCTATCACTACTTTTTCCGTCCTGGCCCCTCTATCCATATCCTACCCCCTTGTCTTGCACTTGTCTTATCACAACTTCTGACATGTTAATATTCCACAAGAGATGTGAGAATTAAATGCACTGAATACAGAACATCAGAAAACAATTGCAAGTTAATCTTGTCATCTGAACTTTCTTAACTGTT